AATATTTCTGCCAAATCAGTTGTGATGGCGACACCCGGAATCGGAAATCGAAAAGCGCCAGAGAGACGGAATGGTAGCTTCTAAGATCAGGACCGTGTCTTGGTCTTTATCAAGCTACGGTGGTTACACGAACGAGGACGGTATAATGAATATCAGCGATAGCTGAGAATTGACCGGTGCCGATGTGGCGGCAGAGCCGTCAAAATTTAAACAATCAAGGGCGAAATTGACGTGAGTTCATATTCTACACCCTTTTGAATTGATATCGATTGTTCCGTATCGATCGTTGCCGTTACTGATTGGGTAATGGCAACAATCGGTACCAAATGAAGTTGGTGTTTGATTTTCCTTTTCCGTCTCCTTTATTTTTCCCTCGTTTCTTTGATATTCGCTTACATACAGTCCTTCAGTCAGGGCCAAGACCCGAGCACCAAGTTGAGGCGAGCCTGGTAGGAGTTGACCGGTCTCAAAGAATTGATGCTTAAGACAAAAGAAAAGACGTAGAATTCTAGATGAGGCACAGCGCAAGGTAGCCGCTGCACCAGCCATATCATCTATGAGATACGAGACTTTGTTAGCGTAAGAGTTAAAGAGCGCTGTTCTGTTACAGCGATCATGACATGTTTACGTTCTTCAAAGCTTGAAGTTTCGGTTGTAATTCAGCAATGTTATGGAGGCAATGGTTTCTTCACGAATATCACTCTGCACTAGAAACACCGAAATCAATTATTCATCAAAAAATAAACTTTTATAAAATAGATCAAATCACGCGATTTATCATTAGGCGACTTTAGTGCATGTGGCGTGCATTTGTGGTTTTAGTACAGCATTTCTGTGACATATTCCGACAGGACTTCGCCCATTTCGACAGAAGTAGGCCCTGGAGGAGATTCCTGGGCTAGTCCAAATGGTAAATAGTTGGACTGTGAGTTCGGATATACGGCTATGTCGCACAGCTCCATGTCCTCACCATAACGTTTTAAACTGAAATTGAATATTCAGTAGCAATAGAAGTAACTTGAAACATTTT